CGTCACCCAGGAACCTGAAACAGACAAGCAACGGAATTGTGATCCGCTGAGTTTTGTCGCCTCACTGCCTCTATCACAAGGCCAACTCTTCAAAAGGTCACCAACAGAACGCTGCCTCCACACCGCACCCCGTTTACCCCACCTGCCGTGATTCACGGCCTGCGTGACCTCGTCTTCGAACGCAATGAGCTCGCCCTCCCTCGCCGCAACCGGCGACGGCGTGCGCGGCGACGACCACGCTCCTCCTCCCCCCCAGTTGCGCCCCTCCGCGCCGTCCGCCCGCCTGCTGGTAATCGCGGCTTCGGGCGTCGCGGGCGCAGCGCCACTGGTGCGGCTAGAGAGGGAGGTATTCCCCGGGTCACCCGCGGCCGCGGATGCTCTCAAGGGGTTTGCGCTGATGGTGTTTCTAGCCCGGTGGAGGCTTTCCGGCGTGCGCAAGTGGAGGAAAGGGGAGAAGGCGGTGGGGTTGAGCCAGAGCTCCGGGGGAGGCGGTTTGGGCGGCATAGGCGCGCGGGAGTGCGCGAGCACGCGGCTGTGCGCGGAGGGCGCCGTGGGGCAGTCGTCGTCGATCGCGCACGCGCGCAGCTGCGAGGGGGAGAGCGCGGAGATGCGCCATGCCCTGCGGAGAGAACACGAACGCGGGGCCACTGGTCAGAGCGGAACAGCGCGCGAAAGAACTGCGCAGAGAGTTGCGTTGAAGACTGCAACAAGCAGCACAGATGAGGGAAAGACAAAATAAATTTCTTTCGCCTCTTTCTCGGAGCGCACCTATTAACCCTCGCGGCGGTGGCGAGGTCGTCGAGGGACGGCATCATCTTCAGCACCGACGACAGCACCTCCACTGGCACCCCTGGCCCCTCACCGCTCCCTCGCCCTGCATCGCCTCCTGTCGCGTTTTCGCTCCGAACGGAGCGAATGAGCGCACTGCTACTCAAGGCGAGAGAATCAAAAGAATGCGGGAGATCTTCTGTGGGAGGCGAGGATTCCGCGACCATGGCGGTTCGTGACTGTGTGAAAACCTGTCGTCTATCGTGAGCTGCAAGAAACGTAACGGAAAGAGAGGCCTCGGAGCCTTTTGGGAAACAATAATATTGTTGAGTTTAGGGAACTAATGCAAGATGAGGGAATGGAAGCAAGGAGGGAGGAGTGGCGGAAAAAATAGTGGCACGCCTTTCACATAAGATTGAGGAAGGAACGCTGTTCAACTATCATTCAACCGTTGGAAACCGAATAGAATTGTTTCTCGACCGTATTGACCCTCTCGAAAGTGAGAGTGCAAAAGCGACGTGTTGGTGATTGGCTGATGTACGAACCGCTACACGATTCAATTTGTCTGACAGCTGACACCGTTGTTTCCCGCGCGTTTCTTGAGCATGAGTGCTTCGTCATCAACAAGAAACTCGATACTGTACACGACACCATGCGATATAATCACCAGCTAGGCAATCACAACTCATCCATCGATCACGGTAATCTGCGTCGTGACGTGATTGTCATTCCTTCAGTCGAGCTCGCAAACCCATCCCACACCCCACAGGGCATTTCGGCAGGGCGGCAGGCAAGCACCCCCACCGAATCCGGTGAACCTACCTTCCACCTTACTGCACCATGGCTTATTATACCTCACCAGCCTTACATTATTTAGCTTTATCGTTTGCCGGACACTATGATCCTCCAGGAAAACACGGTTGTGCCTCCGCGTCGCCTCCATGGGCTATGCGAGGACGACTAGCTCCCGGTTCCTCACAACTGCCCTTCCGTGTCTAGCGGCGGTCGTCGTCGCTCTCCTGCCACGTGTCGTCCAGCCCGTGACTCTCGCCGAGTCCCAAGGTGCGCCATGCTCACAGCACAACCTCCGTGTCTCGAGCGACTTCTTTCGTCCTTCGCATCAGTCGCATTCTTCTCAGCCTTGCGTAATGTTCTCATAGTAACGCGCGCCACGCCCATACAGCGGCTGTCCAGTAGCAGCTGGGTCCACCGCAGCGCCCACTCGCCATGGATCCGCCGTTCTTGTCGTTCGTTCAGCCCACCTCGCACTCTCGTTCAGCCCACCTTGCACTCTCGTTCAGCCCACCTTGCACTCTCGTTCAGCCCACCTTGCACTCTCGTTCACCTCACCTTGCACTCTCGGCAAGCTGTGGTCGAATCCCGTTTTCCTGCTGCCCGCTGCTCCTTCCCGCCCTTATATCCCGCACACTCGGCGCGCAGCGGCGGCGCTGAAGGAGTGCGCGGCGGAGTGGGGGATGAGCGCGGCGGGGTGGGCGCAAGGCGCGGACTGCGCGCGGGCGAAGGGGGTCACGTGCGACAAAGGCGGCATGGTCACATCGCTGTCAGTGCCCCGGGGGACGGCAGCGCGATGGGGGGAGGGGGGGGGCGCGTGGAAAAGAGAGGGGGGACGATAAGGGGAGCAGCAGGGCATAGCAGATGCACATGGGCGGAGGGGGCGAGGGCCATGAGAGCGAGAACCGGGCGCACGCGAGCCATTGAATGCCGCCCAGTGCTGCCGCCCTTTGCTGCTGCTGCCGCCGCTGCACATGCATGGCCTGTCAGTGTGGACCATGACCCTCTCCTCTCCTTGCGTGCTGCACTCCTCCATTGCGCCACGTGCATCATTGCTCTCTTGCTCATTCCCTGTCTGCCCCAACCTCCACAACCCTCCCACCACCCTTCCCCTCTCTCCATGCCTTCTCCCCTCCCCGCAACAACCCCCCCTTGCACGCTGTGCAGGCTCCTGAATTATGAGAACCTCACAGGCTCCATCCCGCTCGCCCTCACCACGCTCTCCCGCCTGCACTCGCTGTGAGTTGCCTCGCTCTGCCCCCAGCTGCCCTCTCGCTCGCTCTCTCCCCACCTCACCCATCATCACCTCACCCATCATCACCTCACCCATCATCACCTCACCCATCATCACCTCACCCATCATCACCTCACCTGTCACGTCACCATCCCTCCTCCCCTCTTGCCCGTCCCTTCCCCTCCCACCCACCCCCCCCCCCTCCCCCCGGTGCTGGCAGGGATCTGCGGTCCAACAGTCTCTCTGGGCCTCTGCCGCCCGCCCTCTCCTCCCTCCGCCTGCTCACCTCCCTGTAAGGCGCAAGGAGAGGCACAGTGAGAGGCGCAGTGAGAGGCGCAGTGAGAGGCGCAGTGAGAGGCGCAGTGAGAGGCGCAATGAGAGGCGCAATGAGAGGCACTCCCACGTGGCAGGCATGTGGTGGTTGAGTGACTATGAGGGCTTCTTGCCATGGCAGCGCTGTGAGCGTGGCAGGGCTGTGAGCGTGGCAGGGCTGTGAGCGTGGCAGGGCTGTGATCGTGGCAGGGCTGTGAGCGTGGCAGGGCTGTGAGCGTGGCAGGGCTGTGAGCGTGGCAGGGCTGTGAGCGTGGCAGGGCTGTGAGCGTGGCAGGGCTGTGAGCGTGGCAGGGCTGTGAGCGTGGCAGGGCTGTGAGCGTGGCAGGGCTGTGAGCGTGGCAGGGCTGTGAGCGTGGCAGGGCTGTGAGCGTGGCAGGGCTGTGAGCGTGGCAGGGCTGTGAGCGTGGCAGGGCTGTGAGCGTGGCAGGGCTGTGAGCGTGGCAGGGCTGTGAGCGTGGCAGGGCTGTGAGCGTGGCAGGGCTGTGAGCGTGGCAGGGCTGTGAGCGTGGCAGGGCTGTGAGCGTGGCAGGGCTGTGAGCGTGGCAGGGCTGTGAGCGTGGCAGGGCTGTGAGCGTGGCAGGGCTGTGAGCGTGGCAGGGCTGTGAGCGTGGCAGGGCTGTGAGCGTGGCAGGGCTGTGAGCGTGGCAGGGCTGTGAGCGTGGCAGGGCTGTGAGCGTGGCAGGGCTGTGAGCGTGGCAGGGCTGTGAGCGTGGCAGGGCTGTGAGCGTGGCAGGGCTGTGAGCGTGGCAGGGCTGTGAGCGTGGCAGGGCTGTGAGCGTGGCAGGGCTGTGAGCGTGGCAGGGCTGTGAGCGTGGCAGGGCTGTGAGCGTGGCAGGGCTGTGAGCGTGGCAGGGCTGTGAGCGTGGCAGGGCTGTGAGCGTGGCAGGGCTGTGAGCGTGGCAGGGCTGTGAGCGTGGCAGCAGTGATCGTGGCAGCAGTGATCGTGGCAGCAGTGATTGTGGCAGCAGTGATCGTGGCAGCAGTGATTGTGCCTTCAGCCGTGTGACCCTCTGTGTCTGTGCACCTGCACACTTTGGTTGGTGTTTGATCTCCACATGTCCGCATGCGTGCGTGTGTGCATGTGTGCATGTGTGCATGTGTGCATGCGTGCGTGTGTGCGTGTGTGCGTGTGTGTGTGTGTGCATGTGTGCGTGTGTGCATGTGTGCATGCGTGCATGTGTGCATGCGTGCGTGTGTGCGTGTGTGTGTGTGTGCATGTGTGCGTGTGTGCATGTGTGCATGCGTGCGTGTGTGCGTGTGTGTGTGTGCGTGCGTGCATGTGTGCATGTGTGCATGCGTGCATGTGTGCATGTGTGCATGTGTGCATGCGTGCATGTGTGCATGTGTGCATGTGTGCATGTGTGCGTGTGTGCATACGTCCATGCATGCATGCAGGGCTGTGAGCAACAACAACCTCACGGGCCCTATCTTTACCACCATTGCCCGCATGCCATCGCTCCTCCAACTGTAATCACCCAACTGTAACCATCCAACTGTAACCACCCAACTGTAACCATCCAACTGTAACCACCCAACTGTAACCATCCAACTCTAACCACCCAATTGTAACCTTCCAACTGTAACCACCCAACTGTAACTCCTATCACCGGCTGCACTGCTTGTCGCGTGCCGGCCTCTCGCCATGGGGCTCTGCTTGCTCCATCTTCACCGCACGCTGCTGCTGCTGCTCAATTTTCTTCCCTTTCCTCGCTTCCTCTCCTCTTCCCATCTCGCCCCCACCGTTCTGCCTCCACCTGCCTCTCTCCACCTCTGCCGTCCCTTCCTCCCATCTATCCACCCCAAGCCCCTCCCCTCCACCCCCCATCTGTCCCTGCCTTACCGTGCCTGCTTCTCCTCACGTCTGCTCTCACTTTCTTTCCACGCCACCCCTCCTGCCCCCGCACCCCTCGTGTCCCCACCCCCCTGTTCCGCCCCCCTGTTCCGCCCCCCTGTTCCGCCCCCCTGCACGCCCATCCGCTGCCAGCGTGCTCATGAGCAACAGCTTCACAGGGCCCTTCCCACGCACCCTCTCTCGCCCTCACCTATTCACTTCCTCTGCACAGCATCGCCCCCTGTGCCCCCGCTCGGCCTCCCGTCCCCCCTCTGCCTTGTGTGATTCCACCAGAACCACAACATCCCCCCCAGCATCTCATACCCTCGCAGGAGTATCAACCTCAGCGACATGCCACGTCCCCCCTATTAGCTCCCATCCCGCCCCACGTGCACGCACCGCCCCTGTGTGCTCTCATCCTGCCAGAGAAATGGGTTCCAACGACTTTCACGGGCCATGGCCGCTACCCTTCTCCCACCTCACTGCCCTCGCCCACCTGTACGCCTCTCCTCTCCCCACCATTTGCTCTCTATCCTCTCCTCCTATTTTCGTGCAGGCCTCATGCCATGCCATGCCATGCCATGCCGTTCCATGCCAATCCAAACCATCCCATCCCATCCCATCCCATCCCATCCCATCCCATCCCATCCCATCCCATCCCACGCCACGAACCCTTTTCCCCCCCTCCCACGCACCCCACAGGGGCATGGCATGGAACGGCTTCTCAGGTGCGCTGCTGGACCACATCAGCGCCCTCTCGTCCCTTCAATTCCTGTACTGCCTCTCACGCACGCCGTCTCACTGCACTCTGCGTAGCGCTTCCAGCCTACCCCCTTTCACGGCTTGCACTGTCGTTACATCACTGCGCTGTGTCTCCTGTGCCCCTCGCATCCTCTCATCGCTTGTCTCCCTCTCAGCACATGCGTCTGACCCATGCCATGCCTTGCACATGTCCCTTCCGTGTGGCACTGGCACCATCACCATCAGCTATGCGCCAGGCAACGCCATCTCAGGAAGCATCCCCGCCTCCATCAGCGCCCTCTCCTGCCTCGAGTACCTGTCAGTTGCACACGCACCCCCGTCTCGTTGTGTGTGTGTGTGTGTGTGAATACATCTATTTTACCTTTCCTTGTTGTAGTGTGTGTGTCTTGCAAACACCTTGAGTGCATCTCGCTCCTCCTGCTTGCTTGCCAGCGCCCCTCTGCTGCTCTGCTGCGCTTGGTCTTGCGGCTGTGGTGCTGCTGGGGAGGGCAGGATGCAAATCCAAGACGGCTCACGGCTAATCAAGAGCATGGGGTGAAGGCAACCACTTTAAGGATATACTTATCCGCCCCTGCTTCCCCCCCTGCCCACCCACCCACATGCACGTGCACGGCAGGGTGTTGAGTCAGAACCCCCTCCTCTCGGGCTCTCTGCCCCGCGCCCTCTCTCGCCTCACCACCCTCCAAGTGCTGTCAGCCCCACCCCACGCTCGTCCTTCCCCCCCTGCTCCTCCTCCCCCCCTGCCCCTCCTCCCCACCACTCCTCCTCCTCCTCCTCCTCCTCCTCCCCCCTGCCTCTCCTGTCCGTTCCTTCCACTCCTTCCCCCCACCTCCTTCCCTTGCTCTCCCCACTCTCTCGCATTTGACTCTTCCTGCGCATGCACCTCCTCCCGCCGCTCTGCCTCGCACCCTCCTGCATCACCTCTTGTCTCCCCACTTGTGCACCCCGCCCCTCATTTTTTTCCACCTCACTCACTCTCCTCCGCCTCTGCTGCTGGCCCCCATTCTTCTCTTCCCCTCTCCTCCCTTTCACCTCCTCCTCCTCCTTCCATCCTTTCACGTGTTCAGCTTTCTCTGCCTCTCCCACTCTCCTCCCTCGTCGTCCTCACAAGCTCACGCCCAATCCCGTGCCACTGCCTATCCAGCTATCGATATCTTCTCACTCCTGGCTTGCTTGCAATCCCTCCTCTCCGTCCTCTCGCCCACTTCCCAACTCCGTTCTCTACTCGTTCCATTATTTCCCCTTCCCCACTCGTCCCCCCTGCCCCCCTCCCCCAGTGAGCTGCAGGACACGGCCATTTCGGGCGAGCTGCCTCGCTTCCTCACAGCTCTCACGCGACTCACCACCCTGTGCGCCCCTCCCCGCCCTGTTCGCCCCTCACCACCCTGTGCGCCCCTCACCACCCTGTGCGCCCCTCCGCACCCTTTATGCCATTTCTCCATCTCTACTTTCTTCCATCTCAACCTCCTTCCATCCCTTCCAACCGATTCATCCAACGAGTGTTGCTTTAACCCACTCCTTGCCTCCCATTTTGTTGCTGCCTTTCATTTCTCTTCCACCCCCTCTCCCACTTCGCCTCACCCCGCCTTCTGTCCCGTGCCTTCTCCGTTTACCAACCCTCATCCCACTCAGTGACGTGAGCAACACGAAGCTTCATGGAATCATCCCCGCCTCTTATGGAGCCCTCCCATTCAACTCCTTGTGTGCATTTTCCCTCTTTTTCCTTCACCCCCTTGCGACTGTCTTGTTACGGCGCATTCTTACTTCGTATGTTGGACAATCTGTGAAAATCAAAACATGTATGCTGTGATATTTCTTTCTTGAACAGTACTTAAAAAAATATATATGAACACACGCATTTAAGGCCATTGATAAACTACTCATTACTTTCTGTAGCGGACATAATGTAATGATAACTCTTGTCTTTCTCCCATCCGGCCCCGTATACCCTCCATGCCCCTTCTCACTCTCAGTGACTTTTCCGGGGTAACTTGCCCAACGGAGGGCAGCAGCTGTGAAATCAATCAGAACCGTTCATCCACGTTTTGCAAGCTCTGTTCAACGTTCTATACCACATGTATCCCGATCAACGGTCAGGATCGCATCGCAGCAAACATGCATTTAGCAGTGCTGTGCCCACATCACATCAACCATGCACATACGTACCCCTGCAATGCTCTTTCATGCCACACTTGTATCTCTCACGCCTCCGCCCCCCAATTCACCCGTCCAACAATTTCCCCCAATTCCTCGCAACCTTCCCGTCCGTTCCGATATTCCATAACATCTCATCCGCCCACCCATCCCCTTCTTTCCCCCGCCAGCACCAATCTCCAGTCCGCCTCCCCCTTCCCCTCTCCACCTTCCGCCATCCCCTTCCCCCCCGCCTCCTCCCCCCACCATCACCGTCCTCCTCGCCCCCCCTTCCCCTCCTCCCCCTCCGCCCTCCTTCCTCCAACCGTCAACGATTGCGGGGGCAGCAGTGGGTGTTGTGGTGCTGCTCCTGATGGTGGTGGTAGCAGTGGGGTTGGGGGTATGGAGGTGGAGGAAGAGGAGGGACCAAACAGGGAAGGATCTGAGTGAGTGGGCAGGGGAGAGGGGGGAAAGGGGAGATTCTGAGGGTTTATGGCATGAAGACATGATTGCATGAAGGAGTGAAGGAGTGATGGTTGGGGTTTATATGGGGCATGCGACATCGCGTTGGCATCTTGGCGTTTGGTGTATGCTTGGGGACGTTGGGTGTGTGTGTGTGTGTGTGTGTGTGTGTGAGTGAGTGTGAGTGTGAGTGTGCGTGTGTGTGTGTGAGTGTATGAGTGTGTGTGGGTGTGTGTGAGTGAGTGTGTGTGTGTGTGTGTGTGCGTCTGTGTGTGTGTGGGGTGTTCTGCCCACTTCCTCCCCGGCCTTCTCAGCGTCCCTTTGTCACCAAAACCTCCCTGTTCCCTCTCAGTAAGTTATTAAGAAGAAAAATAAATAAGATCAACCTCTCCTTTCCCCTTTCCCACCCGTTTCCTCCTCCCGCCCTTCCCCCCTTCCCCCTTCCAGCCACACCAATCCTAAGGAGCGCCCCCCCCCTGCCCGCACATCCCCCTGGCTGACATCCTCAGAGCCACGAATGGGTGGGCGGAGGGGCGGAGGGTGGGGGGAGGCAGGTGGGGTGACGTGTACCGGGGGGAATGGGTGGAGGGGGGGGATGGGGGGTCGCAGGGGGGGAAGGATGGGGAGGGAACAGGAGCGAAGAAGCAGGAAGGGGGAGAGGTGTCGGGGGGGGGCGCAGGGGAAAGGGGGGGTGAGTGACAAGGGGAAAGGGTCGAAGGGGAAGCGGAAGGGGCAGGGGAAAGGGTGGCAGGAGAAGCGGTTTCCAGGGGCAAGGATGGGGAAGGGGGGGAGGCGGGGGGACAAGTGGGCAGTGAAGCGCATGAGGGGGGGGGCGCATGGGGCAGAGAGGGCGGAGTTTGAGGCTCATGTGGCGGGCTTGGCGCGGCTAGGCCACCCCAACGTGCTGGCGCTCGTGGGGTGGTGCTTCTGGGAGGGCGCAGAGGGGGGAGACGCGGGGGTGGAGGTGGCAGGGGGGGAGGGGAGGAGGAGGGGAGCAGGCGGGGGGGGCGAAAGGAGGGAGGCACATGGTGGGGTTGAGGGCGAGGGTGGCGTGCGGGAGGGAGGGCAGCAGGAAGAGCAGGGTGTGCAGGGTGGGGAGGTTGAGCAGCAAGGGGGCGTGGATGGGCGGGGGAATGAGGTGGTGTTGGTGTACGAGTGGATGGAGCGGGGCAGCCTGCAGGCAGCACTGCAGCCTGAGAGGCCTTCCTTGTCATGTCATGTGCTTCCATTCACTCACCAGTCTCCCGCTCACCACTCGCCCCAATCCATCCGCTCTGCTCTCACAACAGCACCTCATGCCTGTCCCATCACGCAGGCCTTTTTCTTTCTTCACCACCCGTGGTCGTGTCGATCATCCCCAACCACCACCATTGGTACGCGCCACGCGCTTCTCGCTGGCTTTCAAGGCAGTGCAGGGGCACGCCCTCCATAATTTCCGCGCCTTTTGAGGTATTTTCAAACGGCATTTCTTGGCCACTCATCCCCACGCCCCTTGCCAAACCTCCTGCTGTTGTTCATCCCACACCCCCCTCCAACCACCCGCAGTGGCAGGCGCCCGTCCGTTGTCGCTGCAGCAGCGGGTGGGCGTAGCAGTGGGCGTGCTGAGGGCGCTCAAGGCAGTGCAGAGCCACGGGCAGGTGCATGGCGACCTCAAGCCCTCCAACGTGCTGCTCAGGGCCTCCTTTGAGGTGCGTGCGTCTTTTGAGGTATATGCCTTGCTCTCACACTCAAGTTATTTTGTTGCATTCCCTATTGAGCCGACTCAAGAGCCACGCGCACGTACTTTAACAGCCACTATGTTGTTAAGAACAAGTCCTGAAAGAAGTTCGAGTTGAGAATGACTCACGGCCTCTACGAACCTCACAAGTTAAGGTCCAGGAAGTGGAACAGTACAACAGAATTTGAAACCTTGAAAGAACTTAAAACTAACTACATCACGGCTCAACACCAAGAAAAGCTGTATACAACATAATGCAATATTACCATTTTCATTGTCTTGATGTTTACCGTCCTATCGAGTTTTGGTGGTTCCAATATATTCTTTGTCGGCTTCTTAAAAACTTGTTGCGAAAAGAAATAAATGACAGTACAAAAAAATGCATGCAACACAACCACGACGATTTGATACATGCGACAAAATACTAGCAAGTCAACTCTAGTTCCTACATTCATAATCATATAACATATCTTACCATACTCATAGGTCTCACCATTTTATGCAAACACATGCGCATACAGAAGGACAACGAATCGAGTGCAAACCATGAAAGTGCATCAACGCATATTGTGCGTGAACTCAAAAGCCACAGACATGTGCATGGATAACTCTCAGCCCAGCAATGTGCTGCTGGGGGCTTTGTTGGAGATGCATGCCGTGCCCTTACCTGTTGCCTTGCTGCCACGCGTGCTCTATTGAGGTGACTTCTGAGACAACAAAGAAGTCTTGTCGTTGCAATGACGCACGCCACGATTTATCTCAATTCAGGCACAACGGGCAGGTGTATTGTGTATAGCTCCAACCTCTCAAGCCCAGCAACATGCTGCTAAGGGCTTACTTTGAGAGGAATGCTGCTAGGTGCTCACTTTGAACGAAGTGCCGTGCCGTTGAGAGTCCATGTGCACTTGAACCTGGTTGAGAGCTTGAAAGGGCAACAGGAAGGTGCCTTCTCCTTTCTCACTCCCCTCCTTGCCGATCTCTATGGCACCCTCAAACGTCCTGTTCTCACTCCATGTACCTCCAATGCTCTCTGCCTCTCCTCCATCTCCCCCCCTCCCAGCCGCGTGTGGGCAACTGGAGTGTGGTGCACATGGGGCGGCGCGTGCACTTGGACATGGGCATTGTCTTGGGAGGGCTCCAGGAAGGTTCCTTGCCAAGCGGGAGCGGGGAAGAGAGAGGCAGCGAGGGGAGGAGCAAGGATGGCAGCAGCAGTGGCAAGTGTAGCAGCAGCAGTGACAAGCGTAGCAGCACTGACAAAGGTAGAAGCAGCACGGACAAGTTTAGCAGCAGCACTGACAGAGGTAACACCAGCACTGACAAGGGCAGCAGCAGCACAAACAAGGGTAGCACTGACAAAGGTAGCAGCAGTGACAAGAGTGGCAATAGTGACAAGAGTGGCAGCGGTGAGTATTCGTGGGGGACCGGTAGGAGTGGCAGCAGCAGCAGCAGCAGCAACAGCAGCGGAGGCGGTGGGCAGAAGGTGTATCTTCTGCGATGCACAGATGGACATGTGGACCCGGCCGTACTGCATACCAGCATTGCCACTCCCACCAGTGACATGTACAGGTGGGCCTTTAACAACCCCCCTCTCCACCTTGCGTTCGCTAGTGTGGACTGCTGCTGCTACAGCTGCTCGCCTCCCCCCTCCACGGCCCCCCCATCCTGCCTGTCTGCCCATCCCCCCACCAGTGTGGGAGTGCTGCTGCTACAGCTGCTCACAGGGTGGGCGGGTCCCATCAGGCATGTGGATGGGCAGCGCACCCACATCTACCACTGGGTGCGTGGGTCTCCCACAAAGATGGCTTGGCATGGTATGGCGTGGTGTGGGGTCGTGTGGCGTGGCATGGCATGGCATGACATGGCATGCAATGTCGCAGAGCAGTCCTCTGCCCCCCTGCCCCTGCTCACCTCCTCATTTGCTCCCCTTTCCCACTTCCTCCCCTCCCCTTTCCTAGCTCTCCTTTCCCCTCCCCCTGCTTGGTTGCCTTCCCCTGCTCCCCTCCCCCACCCGCAGGCCCAGCAGCACCTATCAGCCGGGGACGTCTCTCCTCTCCTCGACCCCCTGCTGCCACAACCCCCACCCCCTCCCGCCCTCCTCCTCCCCCTCGTCCGCCTCGCCCTCGCCCGCTCCTCCCCCTCCCCCTCCGCCCGCCCCACCCCCTCCTCCGCCCTCACCGCTCTTAATCCCCTCCGCTCCTCCCTGCTGCACTGGGGGCAGTCCGCAGGCAGGCAGGGGGGAGACACGGGGGGAACAGGAGACTGGGAGGGGGGAGGAAGCGGAGAGGATTGGGGGGACAGTGCATATGGGGGGAGCGGGGGGAGTTGGAGCAGGCTATTCAGGGGGGGAAGTGCCGGGGGAAGGGGGGAGTGGAGCGTTGGCAGTGCGCTGGGTGCCAGGCTGGCGATCCTTGGTTCAGAGGATAGTAGGGAGTGTGTGGTGGGAGGTGTTGTCTCTTCTCGTGAAGTAGAGAGGAGCAGGTGATATATGCCCATGTATCCCTGGAGGCGACACAATTCTAGAGCGTGTTGCATGAGACTGGGCAAAATCACACATGCATGGTATTTGATTCATGTCCTCGTCTCAATCCCCGGTTGACCTCTTCTATTATGAGTACAGATCAAGCAAGTGCACCAGGTTCTCGTGTCCTGTTCAGGGTAGTCCCACAGGCAAACACCTAGACAAACGAGCACACCAGACAGTCTTTCCATCGCTTAAATCGTGTTACGAATAGTAAATGTTGAAATATCACTGTGCACTCCTCACTGCAGCAATCGAAGCACGCACTACCGAGAATGAAGACGAAAGGACGGAAGTGACGCGAAGGGTCGTACGGTTACGAAGGCATCTGGACCGTTGGGCAGACAGCATCAGGCAGCAGCAGTGGCGAGGATTCTGCCTAGGCAGTTTGTAACCGTCTGGAGTCGCACGGTTGGGTTTTCGCTGCAATAAGGTAATGTACCCCTTAGAGTACATGGCTAGTTAGGTCGATTCATATTCCCTCTTGTACTCTTATTTATACCCTTGTACTTGCATGTTTTTAATCATCTCAAGCATCTTATATTCACTCTGCTATTGAGGTCAAGGGCCCACCACCACTACTCAGTCGTGTACGAACCTTCCTGAGGTGATCCTAGGCACGATCAACTTCTGATCGCAACATGGTATGAGAGCGACTCAGGAATCCTTCGCACCGCCACCACCGAAATCTTCGGCGAACGGAAAGTGGCGTCCGGCATACGCTCACGCGTGAGAATGGCCGGGGGATCTGGTGGTCAGACGAATCTGACGGCTGAAGCGCAGACCAACCCGGCTGCAACAAGCGAGGAAACGACGACGATTGGAACCGCCGCCCTCGCACAGATGCTTCAGCGACTCACCAGCCTGGAGCAACAACTCCAGACATTGCGGAACGGCGATGCGGGAACTCTCAAATTAGGATGCAACGGAATGATGAACTAGAAAGAGGATGGGGTACAAATATGCAAACCTAAAAGCTGTACCCCCTAGAAGGCACCTCACTACAGCCTATATCACATATTATATATTTGACACACCCCCATAGGCTAAGTGAGGGGCATCAAAGCAAGCAGGGTGAACAAACGGTCACAAGACCAATCAATGCAAGAAGCAAAGCAAGCTCAGGGTGGATCTCAAGGACACCACACAAATTTCGAGCACAAGCAAGCGGCCACAAGGCCAGTTCAAGAGTTCACTAGGATATATATAGCAAAGCACAACAAGCAGAGCAAACAACAAGTCTACAGCAACCAAGGGCCTACCTCAACAAGCCCCAACTGCACACAAAATCTGTGGTGGTCACCAGGCGCCAAGGCCAAGGCCTCAGTGTTGGCCTCTGAGGCCACAAAGTCCAAGCGTGCCTGGCCACGTCGCTGCAGCTCTCGCAGGAGGAAGTACCTCACGTTAATATGCTTCACTCTGCTCTCCAGTCGAGGCTCTTGACACAGGAGGATCATGGCCTTGTTGTCAGTGTACAAGGTCGGTGCAGAGCGAGGCCACTCACCAAGGTCGGCGAGCAAGAAGGTCAACCAGCGAAGCTCCTGTGCCGCCATGGCACCAGCGTAAATATCTGCCTCTGCACTGGACGTAGCCACAGACGACGACCGTGTAGACCTCCACGACACAGCACCAGCACCCAGACTGAAGCAGTAACCCTGAGTCGAGCACTGAGTCTCCACGTCGTCAGCGTAGGAAGAGTCGCAGTGACCGGTCAACACAACTGGCAGTGTCCCTCCAAGCACAAGCCCCATGCCTGATGTAGTCGCCAGATACTTCGCCACCCTCACAGCAGCTGTCCAGTGAACTGGACGGTGTCTCCTAGTCGCAACAAAGCGAGAGAGGACACTGAGGGGAAAGGCGAGGTCCGGCCGAGTACAAGTCATCAGGTACATGAGGCAGCCCACAAGCTCTGCGTAGGGGCCACTAGACTCAAAGGGCTCGTCGGGAAAAGGGCCAGTGAGTCGGTGGTCAACGGCAAGAGGAGTGGGCTGTGTGGTGGAGAACTGAAACCCGAACCGCCGAAGGACCTGCTGCACCATGTGTGACTGAGTCAGTGTGATGGTGCGAGCGGCTCTGTCCCTGGTGATCTGCAGGCCAAGGTAGTGCTGCAGTTTACCGAGGTCAGTGCACTTGTGTCTCTTCTGCAGTTCGGATTTCACCTCAGTCAGAGCTGCCATGTCTGCTGTAGCAAAGACCAAGTCGTCGACGTACACTAGTATAAAGAAAGGAGTGGAACCAGTGCGAACAAACAGCGACGGGTCGGCAGAGGAAGGACAAAACCCAAGGTCACGAAACGTGGAGCGAAGAGTGTCGTGCCACTCACGGGGCGACTGGCGGAGACCGTAGACTGGCCGCCTCAGGCTCCACTGAGTCCCAGGTGGGAAGGTGTCAGTGAAACCAGGAGGACGGCGCAGCCAGATCTCCTCGTGTAGTCAGCCCTAGAGAAACGCAGTGGAGAAGTCAAGGGAGTGCAGCTCGTAGTCTCGCTGTGCTGCTACGTGCAGTAACACCCGAAGAGTAGTCATCTTTGGGGTCGAGGCGAAGGTCTGGAAGAAGTCAACTCCCTCACGCTGACTGAAACCCCTAGCCACGTAGCGCGCCTTGAACACAGGCGGTGAACCAGGCAGCCGCTTCACCTTGAAGAGCCACATGCCATCGACAAAGTTCGCCCTGGGAGGGGGAACTTCGTCGACGTACGTGCCTGTGGATCTCCAAGACGCTAACTCTGCATCCATAGCCGCTTTCCACTGAGAGGCCCACTTCCCTGACACTGCCTCATGGTACGTGCGAGGTGTCGGTATGTCAAGGGCGTCGGGGTCTCCCTCAAGGGAAAGCAGCATGGCGCAGAGAGAGGGGGAAGCGGCTGCTAAGAACTCCAGCTCAAACTGCCTGTCCTCTAGGACGTCACAGCCAAGGGCAGACTCACCCCCGACGGACAGAGGACGGGGAGGTGGAGCAGCCACCACAGGCGTGGCATAGTCAAGACAGCGGGTGGAAGCAAAGTCAGCGACAGCGGCAGTAAGAGCCGAGACAGACGACGGAGAGGCACGAGGGTCGGTGACAAGAGAGGCGAGGAAACGAGAGACAACAGGGCGAGCAGCACGGTAGTAGTCAGTGATAGGGTGAGAGGAAACGGTGAGAGACGACTCAAGAGGTGAGGGGAGAACAGACACAGGCGGAGAACGACAAGGAGGAGAACGAAACAAGACAGTGCGGAGGTCGGCAAGCGGAGACGAGGGCCGAGCATGCGGAGGACAACGACTGGTCCAGTCGTGCGGGACAACAGGAGGAGACGACCGTGACTCAGGAGGAGAGAAAACAGCCGGAGTCGAGTCCGGAGGAGGAAACGTAGGACCGTACGCAGTAGGTGACTGGGAGTGGACAGGAGGAGAGGAAGGAAGACCAAGGGCCCGAAGGCCACTCACTGGAGGGAACAGTTGCTGCAAAGGTGGCGGCTGCGGCGTCTGCTGCTACTGCTGCTGCTGCTGCTGATCCAACTGCTGCAGCTCCTGCCTCTCCTGCTCCACCCGCTCCTACTCCTCGCGCTCAAGCCAGTGAAGGGCCTGGAAGCGGGTGTCGTGGAGGTGGGGACGCGCAGTGGGCGACGCAGTAGGCGAGCCTCCAGCTCCCGTCTCCTCAGTACCAGCACCTCCAGCTCCAGCACCCCCAGAACTAGCACCTCCAGTGCCAGTACCTCCAGCACCAGTACCCCCAAAACTAGCACCTCCAGTGCCAGTACCTCCAGCACCAGCACCCCCAAAACCAGCACCTCCAGTGCCAGCACCTCCAGCTCCAGCACCCCCAGAACTAGCACCTCCAGTGCCTGAACCTCCAGCTCCAGCACCCCCAGAGCTAGCGCCACCTGCGCCAGCACCTCCAACTCCAGCACCCCTCGAACGAGCACCCCCAGACCGAGTACCGCCAGCGGCTGCACCTCCAGCTCCAACACCAACCGAGTCCACAGTAACCTGTCGCGGAAGTGCCGAAGGCTGCTGAGGGGACTGTGAGGAGGAATGCGGGGAGGGAGACGCTACCTGACGCGCGACCGAGGGTAGAGGGGTAGCGTGAGACACACCGGACGGGGCAGGACCAGGGGGGGGTGGGGGTACTGGAGGAGCGGGAGCAGGGGGAAGAGAGGGTGCGAGGAAGAGGGGGGGAGGGGGAACCGGAAGACCTCGACAGGGGTACCGAGTGTAGTAGGACACGGACTCGTCAAACCGGACGTCACGAGAGTCTAGAAACTGGTGGAGGGGCGGGTGGTAAAAGGAGTAGTCGGGAGAGCCCACCGGGAAAACAAGGAAGACACAGGGGATGGCGCGAGCCGAGAGCTTGTCCGCAGAGGTGTCGTGGACAAGCGCAAGGCATCCCCAGACGTGAAATGCCGACCCAACACCAGGGGACCCAGTCCAAAGACTGGTCGGTGAAACCTCTGGCCGCGAGACACGCGGCTGGAGGTTCAGCTGGTGCGCGGCGTGCGCCACAAAAAATGGGGAGCACTGGCATGGATCATTGACGTGCGGGCGATGTCCATGACCAAGCCAATGCGACGCTCAGCAACCCCATTCTGCTGTGGGGACTCTGGCAGCGTCCATGACTGTCTGATGCCCTGCTCGCCGCAGAACCCGGCAAGGACGCCAGAGCGAAACTCACCCCCACGGTCGGAGTGGAGACAACGGACACGCCTACCACGAGTGCCCTTAGTGGCCAGAAGCCACCGGATCAGCGTAGAAGTCACCTCGGACTTCTTCGCGAGAGGAAACACCGTGGTGTACCTGGAGTAGTCGTCAACGACAACTAGAAAGTAGCGCTCCCTCTCAGGTCCCAGCGTAGGGGCAGGGCCCCAGACGTCCATGTGGAGAGTCTGGAAGGGAGCAGTGGCCGGACGAAGGGAGGAGGAGTGCGGAGTGGCGCGCAGGCGGCCGGCGACGCAAGGAGTGCAGGGTGGGGCAA